GGGCACTGGCTTCCTGTTTCTTTACAAATGCAATTCAATATGTTATCTTCCCCTTTAAAGCTCTAAATGGCACAAGGCCAGGCTATTCAAGAAAAGAGTGGACCGCCGTTTGTCTGGGATGGTATAAGGCCGTGATGGCAAACCTATAGCACATGTGCCCAAAGTGGCATGTGAAGCCATGTCACCTGACACGCGCGGCCGTGCCTGTTTGTCTTCTGGGTTTCTGGTGCGCATGCACATGCAATGATCAGATGTCCCTTGTGTGCGCGGTAGTGCCAAAAACCAGTGCGCGCATGTGCACTGGCAAGCTGATTGTCAGGTGCGCATGCACTCCAGAACCCGGAAGTTCAGCTTTTCCAGAGTGCGATCCCTTTGCGTGTGCGGCAGTGCCAAAAACCGGCCTGCGCGTGTGCCAGCCAGCTAATTGTTAGGCATGCATGTGTGCTAGAACCCAGAAGTTTGGCTTTTCCAGAGTGTGATCCCTTCGCGCATGTCGCAGTGCCGAAAACCGGCCTGCGCATGTGCCAGCCAGCCAGCTGATCGGCGGGCGCACATGCAGGCTAGAACTCAGAAGTTCGGATTTTCCGGAGCGCGGCCCCCAATGAGCGTGAGCACGCGACATTTCCGCGTGATCTTTTCAGCACTTGGTGCCAAAAAGCTTCGCCCTCACTGGTATAATGTCTGCCTTGGGCAGGGGGTTGGATTAGAAGACCTCCATGGTCCCTTCCAACCAGTGGTGGGATTCAGCCAGTTCACACCACTTCGGTTGTTAACTTTCTGAGCAGTTTGACAAACTGGTTGTTGGAAGAAATCATTAGGGCAGAGAACTGGTTGTTAACTTACTTGAATCCCACCACTGCTTCCAACCCTATGAGTTTATGATTCTTTCTATGGGACCACCTTTCCCTAAGACATCTACCCATCCTACCAGGTCAGATAAGGTGTGTGTCTGCAGTTTTAGTCCCTTCCCTTAAATATTGCCACCTGAAGGAAGCTAGGAAGTGTGCCTTTTCCATGGCAGTCCCTGTCCTATGGAACACCTTGCCCCTTGAAAGTTGCCAGACTTCCATCCTTTGAGCCTTGTGTTAAGCTTTGAAGATCTCCTCCTCCAAGCTCTCGGATAAGAGACTATATGACTTGGTGCCAGGTTTTTGTTGTTTTCAATGGATTTAGTTTTACAGTTTTATTATGGTTTTTATGTTGCTTTGGTTGGGAGCTGCCCAGAGTTTCTAATAAGTAGGGCAGCTCTATAAATGTTTTCAATAAAGTAACTCCTCTACTTCTCTGTGGCCCTAAAAACCATGTGTGTGCATGGAATAAGTTATGGACCCTTGTTATAAGAATGAAAACTGTAGGGACGTAATTGTTTCATTAGGAACAGCCACATGATCACATTACAGATAGTCCTCGACTTACAACAGTTCATTTAGTGACTGTTCAATGTTACAACGGCACTGAAAAAAGTGACTTAGGATCATTTTTCACAGTTACGACCATTGCAGCATTCCCATGCTAATGTGATCAACTGGTTCATGTTTATGACGGTTGCAGTATCCCAAGGGGCAGGGGTGGGTTCTAAAAGTTTTTACTACCGGTTCTGTGGGCGTGGCTTGATGGTCATGTGACAATTCTTTAGGATTTAGCAGAGGTACTGGTCTACTCATTTATTTTTGCAGGCACCGGTCTACTCATTTGTTTCTGGAGGCACTGGTCTACCCATTTATTTTTGCAAGCATCGGTCTACTCATTTATTTTTGGAGGCACCGGTCTACTCAGTTGGTACTGGCCTCCTGGGAGGTTACACGAGGCTGGCTCCAGGGGATTATAAATGTTTCTCTGAGTGAGGGTGTCTTTCCCGCCACCTTGAAAGAGGTGTTTTTTTTTTTTTTTTATTTTTTATTTTTTATTATAGTTTTATTAACATAAACAAACATAAAACACAAATACATGTAAACACTTATACATTAACAAAGAGTCAATCGACTAACTTCTAGAAAACCTTCGCATCGGTGATTAATGTCCATTTAACCAATTTTCCTTAATCATACTATTTACAAATTCACTTGCTTATACCTTAATATATTCATTGAAGTTCAGCAGTATCTTTCTACAAACATATTAACCATTTATTTATACAATCCTACGGCTCATCTCATGTATCTATTTCTACAATTCTTGAGTTATGTTCTCCTAATGTCCTATGTTGTTGGCCCTATCCTTCTTTCTAACCATGTGTACCATTTTTGCCAAACTAAATAAAAGTCAGTGTTCTCTTTATCTTGGAGCACTTTTGTGAGCCTATCCATCTCTGCGCATTCATTTATTTTTGTTATTATTTTTTCTTCTGTTGGTATTATCTCGGATTTCCAATTCTGAGCGTACACTATACGTGCCGCTGTCAATATGTGGATGGTAAGATATTTTATCTCCTTGGTACACTGTGGTGTAGTCATTCCAAATAGAAAGAATTCTGGTTTCATTTCTACACTTTGCCTCGTTGTTTCTTCGATTATTCTCTTAATCTCTTGCCAGTAGCGTTGTGCCTTCCTGCAAGACCACCAGAGATGGTAATATGTCCCCATTTGTGTCTTGTGAGTGTTCATCAGTATGCTGATGACACACATCTATACATCTCCACCCCAGACCACCCCAATGATGCCCTTGCTGTGATGTCCCGTTGCCTGGAGGCCGTGCGGATCTGGATGGGGAGAAACAAGCTCAGACTCAACCCCTCCAAGACCGAGTGGCTGTGGCTTCCGGCGTCCCGGTATAGTCAGCTAGTACCATCACTGACAATAGGGGATGAGATCTTGCTCCCCACAGAGAGGGCCCGCAACTTGGGTGTCCTCCTGGATTCACGGTTATCTTTAGAAGATCATTTGACGGCCGTGGCCAGGGGTGCCTTTTATCAGGTTCGCCTGATCTGCCAGTTGCGTCCCTTTCTGGATCGGGACGCCTTGCACACGGTCACTCATGCCCTAGTTACCTCCCGTATGGACTACTGTAATGCTCTCTACATGGGGCTCCCCTTGAAAAGCACCCGGAGGCTCCAACTGGTCCAGAACGTAGCCGCGCGGGTGATTATGGGCGCAGCTCGTTACGCCCATGTAACACCTCTCCTACGCGAGCTGCACTGGCTCCTGGTGGTCTTCCGGGTGCAATTCAAGGTGTTAGTTATCACCTTTAAAGCGCTCCATGGCTTAGGACCTGGGTACCTACGAGACCGTCTTTTGCCACCAATAGCCTCCCACCGACCAGTTCGTTTTCACAGGGAGGGACTACTCAGGGTACCGTCAGTCAAATTATGTCGACTGGCGACTCCCAGGGGGAGGGCCTTCTCTGTGGGGGCTCCAACCCTTTGGAATGAACTGCCCCCGGAGATACGGAATATCCCTGATCTCCGTGCTTTCCGCCGTGCCCTCAAGACCCTGATGTTCCAACAGGCAGGGCTAAACATACAAACATGTGAATGATTTTTTAAATGTTATCTAATTCTGGATTTTATTTGATTGACCAAACTAAGTAATAATTTTAATTAGCAATTTTATGATGTTTGTGTGTCTATATTTTTCTTGACTGTACACCGCCTTGAGTCCTACGGGAGAAAGGCGGTATAGAAATATAATAAATAAATAAATAAATTTATTTTTGCAGGCACAGGTCTACTCATTTGTTTCTGGAGGCACCGGTCTACTCATTTGTTTTTGGAGGCACCGGTCTACCACCACACTGCCTTTTAACACTGATCAGCTGTAGGGCAGCCCTTTGAAGCCCCACAACAAGAGTTTAAACAGCTTTTTTCCTTCTAACCAATCAGCTGGGACTCAGGAGGCAGCAATAGATTGGGGGTGGGGCCAAATAAAAGGTAAGAATAATGTGTGTGAGGGGAGCGGGGGAGCAGAACCGGTTCAGTGATGTCATATCATCACCGCTACCGACTTGGCGGAACCGGGCAGAACCAGGAGGAAACCACCACTGCCAAGGGGCCATGTGATCCCCTTTTGTGACCTTCCAACAAGCAAAGTTAATGGGGAAGCCAGATTCATTTAACACCCGGGTTACTAACTTATCAACTGCAATGATTCATTCAACAATGGTGGCAAGAAATGTTGTAAAATGGGGCAAAACTCACTTAGCAAATGCCTCACTTAACAACAGAAATTTTGAGCCTGGATCCTTAACATGGGTTTTTCTGACCTTATAAAATCATTTGTCTTTGGAAATACAGTTCATCCTAGGCGGATAAAAATGCAGGAGGAGGTCAAAAACGTTTGTATTGGTGAAGAGAAGGACCAGGGGAGAGATGATAGCAGTGTTCCAATATTTGAGGGGCTGCCACAGAGAGGAGCGGGGTCAAGCTATTTTCCAAAGCACCAGAAGGCCAGACAAGGAATAATGGATTGAAGCTGATCAAGGAGAGATTCAACTTGGAAATAAGGAGAAATTTTCTGACAGGGAGAACAATCAACCCGTGGAACAGAAGTTGTCTTTGGAGGTTGTGGGAGCTTCATCACTGGAAGCTTTCAAGAAGAGACTGGACTGCCATTTGCCAGAAATGATGTAGGGTCTCCTGCTTGGGTGGGTCGGTTGGACTCAATGACCTACAAGATCCCTTCCAACTCTCTTAATCTGTTAAATCTGTTAAAGATCACGGACCTGCTCTAAAATCACCAGGAACAATCAAGGATTGATTGATTCAATCAAGGAGAGAAGCAACCTAGAACTGAGGAGAAATTTCCTAACAGTGAGAACAATTAACCAACTTGCCTTCAGAGGTTGTGGGTGCTTCATCACTGGAGACTTTTAAGATGAGACCGGACAGCCATTGGTCTAGAATGGAATAGAGTCTCTTACTCAAACAAAGCTTTGGATTAGATGACCTCCAGGATTCCTTCCAACTCCATTATTCTATGTTCTGGTTCTAATTTTGGATTCTATGTTCTGTGTTCTAATTTTGGATCGGTTCCTCTTTCTCAGCCCCAAATCCACTGGGGTGAGTGGTTAAGACATTGTCCTGGGGATCAGGGAAATGTTGCTTTTGGATAGATCGTCTTCCCGTTTCTTTCCTCCTGTATTTTTTTTCCCCCTTCCTCATCTCAGAAATAGATTCAAGATCTACAATATGTGAAGCTTGCTCATTAGTCCTGTAAGCCCTTGGGAATTACACCGCTTCTTCTCCAAAAGCCTTTGATGTATATTGGATTATATCTATTTTTAATTGTGATCGTAGACCACGAGCCCTGCTTTATGCATTAGCATCTCTTTGAAGTTCCCAACTGTGGGATTTCCCTCTCCCTGCTTTATTGCTGGTTTTCTTTCTTTTTTCTTTTTAAATTAATTTATTCTTCTTCTTTTTTTTTTTTTAAGTGGGTGTGGAAACAGAAATGCTAAAGTGGCATTCTTCCCTTGATGGACGCTAATACATTTCTCCTTATGTTGAGGTCAAAACCGGGTAAGGCACGGTGGGGAGCGAACAGTTACACGGGGTGAAGTCACATCGCCAAACCCCCCACCCCCACCCCTATCTATGGGGGCAAATGTTTCTTTTTGGAAGCAGAGTTGACAAGCCTTTCATCTTTTCAAGGAGATCAAATTGACATGGGAGCCAATCTGGAGACCCGAGATTCCTGACAGGGGCGCATTGGACAAAAGAGAAGAAGGCCTTGAGATGGATAGACGCTGATGGATTGAAAGTAGACCTCTCTGCTTTTCTCTGCTTTTTTTTTAAAACCAAAACATGGCTTCCAACCTTCTTAGTTTGTTTACTTACTTGGTTTGATTGGTGGCATCCATTTGGTTGAGAATAGCCTTTCCCTTGACAGGGTCCCCTTTCTTCTCTTTGGCTGCAAGGTTTCGTTCCCATGAAAAGCTTAAGGGCTTCTTTTGTGTTGCCTAAAGTCAACAGAGGGTTTTCTTTCCCTTTGCTTGAGAAGCTGTCCCGGCACATAAGCGGTTGTTTTGTTTTGTTGTTTAAGTCCATGGCGGATCTGCCTCCTTCTGCCCCCTGATTTCCATCTCAATGGGCTGAGGTTTTTTTTTTTTCCCCCTGCCCTCCTGAGAATCTTGGGGCCATATGGTAATATGAGGGGTGACTATGAATAGCTAGCTAAGGATCAGTGTGGAATTCAGGTGCTTCAAAAGCCAAGTAGATTGTTGTTAGTAGACTACTGTTTTCTAATAAGAATAAGAATAAGAATAAGAATAATTTTATTTCTATACCGCCCTTCTCCCAAAGGACTCAGGGCGGTGTACAGCCTATTAAAAACACAAGACAACATCAGTTGATCTACGAGACCGCCTTCTGCTACCAATAGCCTCTCACCGACCAGTACGCTCCCATAGAGAGGGGCTCCTCAGGGTGCCGTCGGCCAAACAGTGTCGACTGGCGGCCCCCAGGGGGAGAGCCTTCTCTGTGGGGGCACCTACCATCTGGAACGAGCTCCCCCCAGAGATACGGAAGATCCCGGACCTGCGCACGTTTCGCCGTGCTCTCAAAACTTTTCTATTTCAGCAAGCTGGCCTGGCCTAACTCCCCTCTTTTAAATTCTTAAATTTTAAATTTTTTAATTCGTGATTTTATAAATTGGGTGTTTTAATCTGTGTTTCGGCCGAAATATTTAATAATTTTAAGGGATTTTTAATATTTGTATTGTCTGTATTTTATCTTGGCTGTTCACCGCCCTGAGTCCTTCGGGAGTAGGGCGGTATAGAAATTTGATAATTAATAAATAAATAAATAAATAAATAAATAAATAATAAATAAATAAATAAATAAATAAATAAATAAATCAATCAATCAATCAATCAATCAATCAATCAATCAATCAATCAATCAATCAGTTAAAATAGTTTAAAATTATTAAATGAATTCGGCTCAATTTAAAACCCCAGAAATTTAAAACCCAATTTAAAATTGTTATGTTGATAGCCCAGCCTGGCGGAACAACAGGGTCTTGAGTGCACAACGAAATACTCGGAGGTCGGAGATCTTACGTATTTCCGGGGACAGTTCGTTCCACAGGGCTGGGGCTCCCACAGAGAAGGCCCTCCCCCTGGGTGTCGCCAGCCGACATAACTTGGCCGATGGCACCCTAAGGAGACCCTCTCTGTGGGAGCGAACTGGCCGGTGGGAGGCTATTGGTGGCAGAAGTCGGTCTCAAAGGTACCCGGGTCCTGTGCCATGGAGCGCTTTTAAGGGGGAAAAAAAAGGAATAGAGTAGAATACAATAACTTAGAAGGGAGGAGTTCTATTGGAAAGGATTTAAAATCCCTGCTGCTTAATATCAGAAAACAAATCTATGTTGATTATTGGCGATTGTCTCCAGGAAGTCCAGAACAATAGAAGATAGAAGATTCTATGAGTCTGTGCCATAAATGCATAGAAGCATAGCAGGGGTGGGTTCTCCTTAGGGGTGAAATGTAAAATTTGTTACTACCAGTTCTGTGGGCGTGGCTTGGTGGTGGGGTAATGTGACTGGGTGGGCGTGGCCAACTTTTTTTTTTTTAACTTTTCAAAGCATTCTTTCGGTGGAAGAGATTGTAGAAAAAATGCTTTTAAAAAAAAGCCTCTGATGGTTGTGTGCCTCAGCTGGGCATGGTGGTGGTGGGGTGGGCGCAGGGATTTTTGCTACTGGTTCTCCGAACCACCCGCCGCCATCGCTATCGGATTGGGCGATCCGGTCCGAACTGGGAGCATTTCACCCCTGGTTCTACTTACCTTTACTACTGGTTTGCAACGGGACCGCGTGTGAGATTCTGCGCATGCACAGAAACTTCTTGATGACATCCGGGTCGGTGGGTGGAACCTCCCGCCGGTTTTACTACCAGTTCTTGCGAACTGGTCCGAACCAGGGGCAGCCCACCACTGAAGCATAGGGCTTGAAGGGACCTTGGAGGTCTTCTAGTCCAACCCCCTACTCACAGTGCAAGAGTCTTATATCATCCCAGTCAAATGGTTGTCTGGTCTGTTTTTGAAAACCTCCAGTGATGGAGCACCCTCAGCCTCAGGAGGCAAGCTATTCCATTGATTGATTGCTCTCGCTGTCAGAAAATTTATCCCTACTTCTAGGTTGTATCTCTCTTTGACAAGCTTCCACCCATTTCTTGTCCTGCCCTCAGGTGCTCTAGAGAATAAGTCAATCTTCTCTTTTTTGTGACAGCCCCTCAAATACTGGAAGACAGCTATCATGCCCCCCTCCCCCACTCCATCCTTCTCTTTGTTAGACTAAGACATACCAAAGTCCTTCAACTGTTTGTCATATGATTTAGCCTCCGGACTAAATCTTTAGCTCAGAGTTGAACTGTGGAGTTCTTGCTTTCTGAGTGTAATTGTTTCCTTGCAGGCATTTCATTACCAGACTAGGTAACCTGATCAGTGCTAAGGAAGCGCAGGGTTTGCTCCCGTTAGCACACTCACTAGCACGGATGATGCTGCCTAGTTGGGTCATGAAACGTCTGCAAAGCCAATAACTCAGCTCCGAATACACCTAAGACAACACAGGTGAGAACGCTTCTTGGATTTCGTGTTCTTTTCTGCCATACCATCCTTCCATTTGCATCACGCATTTTGCCATTCGTGGTGCTTTCTATACTTCTCTTTGTTCAACTTCAGTATTCGGAGAGACTACATTCCAGGCTCTTTCTCTCTTTAGGTCCCTGCCTGATCCCTTAAACATATGTCTGCTTTGGAGGATGAAAGCTGTGTCCCTCCAGGTGTTGCTAAGTCCCCCTCCGTATGGCAGCTCTAAACAGCAGAGGGATACTGGGAATTGCTGTTTGGCAACAGTTGGAAAGCCATTGGTTCCCCACCTCCAGTGAAAACCTAGCAGTAAAGGACTGTGCTTTCCTCTAGTTTAATTTGTATTGCCCACAGTTTTTTTAAAAAAAATTAAAAAATTTTTTGATTTATATGCCGCCTTTCTCTGGAGACGGCTTACAATGCGTTAACAATAGCCTTCATACTTTTGTATATTTATACAAAGTCAGCTTATTGCCCCCACAATCTGGGTCCTCATTTTACCTACCTTAGAAAGGATGGAAGGCTGAGTCAACCTGGAGCCTGGTGAGATTCGAACTCGCACTAATTGCAGGCAGCTGGCAGCTAAGTGCTATTTAACAGCACTTTAGTCCGCTGCTCTACCAAGGCTCTTTTCACCAAGGCTGTTGTTTTCAACTTCAGTGGCATCTTTGAATATTGAACAGTTTCTTTTTCCCCTCCCCACTCCTTCTCCCCCTTCCTCCTCCTCCTCCTCTTCCTCCTTTGTCAGGGCATTTATTAATCCCATGTTTGGCTCTGGGACTAATTACCCTGGTTTAGAGGAGGAGATGAATCGAGGCTTATCCTTGTTGCAATATTCTGATAAAGAAACGCGAAGAAAAGTTTCTAATAAAACTCATTTATTTGTTATAAAGAAAATAAAACACCTCACTAACTAAGAAAAGTTAATTGCTACATTTTTGAAAATAATTCTTGCCGGCTATCTGAGCCGGACCTCTGGCAAGAGAACAAAGGAAAGAGATGTGTGAAGCAAGTGAAGGAATGTGGGTGTGTACGGAAACACGTAGCTTACTGATAAGAAGTTGGCAAGCAAGCTACGGAGAGTCTGACAGTCCAGAAATGATGAGTTCAGCTGGCAAATAAAATAACGCAGTGACATCCTTCTCCTTCCCCTCCTCCTTCTCCTCCTCCTCCTCTCCTCCTCCTCCTCCCCCCTCCTCCTCCTTATCCTAAAGTCCTCTAATCATCTTTGTTGCTCTTCTCTGTACTCTTTCTAGAGCCTCAACTTCTTTTTTTATATCATGGCAACTGTGATGACGATTCCAGTATGAATCGTGTGTCAGATATCATTTAGCCAGAGTAATTTGCCATTCCTGAGATACCAGTGTCAAATCAACTCTTAGTTTTAATCCAGTTATCACTATTGCACGAACTCTTGTCACAAATCCCACAATTACTATGCAGGTTTTCACGAATCCACATTTTCCCATGGAAAGCTGGTACTTGTCGAATTCATGACATCCTTCCCTCCTCCCTGGGGTATAATTGAGTTCAAGTGTAGTGTATTGGGCCTAACTGAAATAAACACTTTTCAACTTTGCCGACAGTTAAGTGCCAGGAAAGCTCCTGCATTTTAAATGAGTAACTGGATAGTAGGCTCTTCAACTGATGGCTCCATTCTCTGTTGGCTGAAATGTTCAATCTGTTGTGTTAATGCTGAAATTTCCTCTTGGCTAAGGGGGATTTCTGTTGGGGCTTTTTAATGTTCAGATGTGTTTACAGAAAGTTCATCTAAACTTTATGAATCCATTTTGCCGCTGTACAAAGACTCTGCTATTGGTAGGATGCCTAATCGGTTTGCAAACTAGGGAATTTACACAGAAATAATAGTTTTGCTCTCGTAGGCTTCCTAAATTGGTCCTATCTTTAGATAAAGATGGTTCCCACTAGGAGAAAAATCTAGTTATTTGAAGTGCTGCTTTTTTTCTTGGTACGTTTTCTTCCCAGTGTCTATTAAAATTGAAATTGCTTTGAGAGAAGAAGAAAATGGCAGTCACAGTTATATGGATGGGAAGAAGGCTTCTTTTGGCTTATCTTTTAACAGATCTAACAGGTTAACAGAGTTGGGAGGGACCTTATAGGTCATCTAGTCCAACCCCCCACTCAAGCAGGAGATCCTATACCATTTCTGACAAATGGCAGTCCAATCTTTTCTTGATTCAAGTGATGAAGCTCCCACCACTTCCGAAGGCAACTTCT